ATATTATATAACATCAACTAGCGATATAAACCTTCTATGTACATATGTGTATGTGTATAATTGGTATCAACTAGTGTGTGTGTGTGTGTATTGGTATGTGCAGGCTAGAGGTCAATGAGTCTTAATTGCTATCCATCTTATTTCTTTCATATAAGATTTCACTGAAACTGGAGCTCACCAATTTAGCTAGACTTGCCAGTGAGTTCTAGGAATCCTCCTACTTCTAACTCCCCAAAATTCAGGTTCTCATGTTTGTGAAACAGTCTCTGGAACCCAGATGGTGAAAGGAGAGCTGACTCCCAAAGCTGTTCGCCAGTCTCCACACATGAGCCATGGCACATGGCTACGTACACATGCATGTGAATGTACATTCATGCACACACATACACACATACACACACACACACACACTAGTAAATTAAAATTTTTCTTTTCAAAAAGCATTTGTACAAGTAAAATTACTAGAGTGGAGAAATAACACTGGCTTAACTTAATTTTATAATCACTTAGAAACTTTGGAGCTTTAAGTAATTATCTACAAAAATTATTTAAGGCTGCAAATGTAGCTCACTGGGCAAAGCAATGGCTTTGTATACGCAAAGCCCTGGGCTCAGTCCCTAGCAATCCACAATGAACTGCTCCATCTCCTGAGATGTCAGTCTAGGTCCTTAAGAGGTCCACCTATAAGCTCTTGCGTGGCAATCCTGTTTGGCATTGCCTTGACCCCCACCACATGATGCCTCCCCTGCAACGGTCAGTCTCTGAGCTCTGGACTCTTATACAGGAGGCACCTGAGTGTTTCAGTAACAGTTATAAACAGCCAAGCCAAAACTGAAAAGTTTCCCACATACACATGGTTCCTCTTTTCAGCTTCCCTATTTTGGTTGATGGTCCTACCCACCCTTGAAACCTCACGAGTGTCTTAGAATGCTCAATACCCACCTCAACAAATCCTGGGGAGTCTACTTCTGTCGTGTGTTCACACCCATACTCATTCTTTTAATCTCTTCACTTTGCCTCAGACTCGCATTACTTTCTGAACAACTGCTCCTCTGTTCCTGTTCTCCTCCACATCTGCTCTTTCACTGCTATCAAATAATAATAATCTCGCTAAAACAAGGGCCACACACTTGGAAGCCAGCAACAGACTGTGAAGGAAGTAATGCAAGGATTTTTATAATGAGCACAAGGAAGGCATTCACTTCCACGGAGGAATATGTTCCCTCTCAGCAACCAATGAAAAGCAGCAGTAAAAGAACAGAGCTAAATGACAAAGGTCACTCGGTCATACTAAGGAGAGAAATAGTCTTTTTTAAAGCCCGCAAAGATGGTAAGTTACTGTTGCCAAGTCTTTAGAATTTACAGAGAGAACCCACAAATCTAAATTGTTACTCGGCTTCTCTTGTTCAAAAATAAATGAATAATCAGTGACTTCCAACCCCTCCCCCAACTTCTCTATTAAGCCTTTCCTCGTAGCTTCCGGTTCACAAATTGAGATCCCAGGCAATTTCGGGGGAAGGTGGGGGGTGGAGGGGGGTAACAGCACTTGCTACCAAGCCTGCAGATCTGAGTGTGGTACTCCCGACCCCACAAGCAGTCCTATGACACACAGATACACAAAGTGAGTGTAGTTTTTAAAAACATTCTGGAGAAGTGAAACAGTGTACGTTCTTATGACAGTGCACATGGCCCAGACTCTACTTTCTGACTCTACTTCATACCCAGACACGGGATTCAGGCACACTGAGTTAAATCTAACTATGTCCAAGTCTTCAGACGAACTTTCTGGTCTAATCAAATTGCTTGTTGATTCCAGCTCTTTTACTAATTGTATCCTGTCCCCCCCCCCCTTTTCCATTCCCTTCACAATCATGCTTAAAATACACCTCCCTTAGGGAGGCACTTCTTAACAGTGCAGGATTTTTGTTGTTACTACTCTAGAAGAGGCCTGCAAAATCGTGTTTCTAAGGTGGGTCCTGAGCCCCCCTAGGGAAAGGGGGGAGGGTCTCTTTGCCTCCCTTTCAATCACTGACAGCGGCTGCTAAGGCGCCTCTCAGGTTTCTGCCAAGCCAAACGCAACTTCACAAGCGGATCAGCCAGGACGGCTCTCACCTGTCAGTTCCCCAGTCAAGTATGTGGCCATTTTGGAGAACATGTCTCGGCAGAGCTCGTTGATGTCAGCTTCGGCGGGCTCCTTTGCTTCCTCGGCTGTCTCCACCGCAGCATCATCTGGCCGAGCGGGTTGGGATGGGGAGGGTGTGTGAGTAAATGTCCTATACCCAGACCTAAACCCAGCCAAAGCGGCCTCTTCCTACGTCCCTCCCGACCCGTGCTCCTGCGGTCTAGCAGCCTTCGTTCTCCACCTGCCCCCATCTCAGGCTCCCCGCTCCGCACTCGCCCACCTGAAACGCCAACTCCGTTCCCTTGCGCGGGGCCAGACCTTCATCTCAGTGCCCTGACGCGGCGGGCAGGCGCACCCGCTTCTGCATCCGGACCCAGCCCCCCACTAGCCGCTTCGCCTCCATCCACGCGAGGTGGTACCTCTAGCCGGCTCCTCGCGTCGCGTCGCAGGGACGCCCTCCGCAGCCGCCGCCATGCCCGGCCCAACGCTGCTTCCGGTTCTGAAGCGTCTGCGCATGCGCACGGCGAGTGCCCCGCCCCGCCGCGCGCGCTCGCACCCTCTTCTCTTTGCTCTTCGTGACCGAGTCACGCCTCAAATTACCTGGTGTTGAAGATGCGTTCGCTTCTGCAGCCATACCCTAGAACTGTCTCTTGGCTTGCACCAGTCACAGCCTGTCGTGGGTGGTGGCCCCACAGTGGCCCCATAACTTGTCAGCTGAAGTTATTAGAGACAGGTGCCTCTTCCCAGACACTAGCACCCTGACAAGTTTTACTCACCAAAGAATGTCGGCAGGGGATCCTGCCTCCCACAAACTTCCAGCCTGGATTCTTGATCCTAAATATTCTCTCCCTTCCCCTCCCCACAAACCTTAGATTAATATCATATCAACTCTCTGAATCGTGCTTCTAAAACTGTTAGCTAGCCCCTAATGCTGTGTAATTGAAAACACCATGCTTGAAACGACACATTGGTTACCTTGATTGCATTTAGTTGTTGAACAAGTCTCTTAGGTTTATGGAATACTTAACAGGATTTGAAAGCAAGTGTGAGTTAAGGCATTGAATGAGAAGGTATACTGGGGAGCAACGGAGGTGTGGAGTGTAGGGGTCGGGGTCGCGGGAGAGGATGAAGAGGTATGGAAGAACTTTCAGGATGCAGGCTCCTGAGCATCCAAAATCTTGGTGTAAGAGTTTCTTGTCTTATTTTTAGTTATCCTCCACCCACCTGTACTTGTGCACATGTACACCCCCACCCCCTACACACCCCTGCACAGGAGTGTGCACACAGACACACACACACACACACACACACACACACACACACACACCATAAATGCCCCTATCCCCAAGCTTTCCTAACCTGACTATCTGAGAACCCATTCTCCCTGGGTACTTCATCTCTACTCTTTTCTATAGTAACTGTAGGCATTTCAGTCGGATCGGGATGGGACAGGTATTCTGGCACCTGGGAGTCATAGAATACTGAGTGTTACACAGCTCAGATGGAAAGGTATCCTGGAACTCGGGAGCCAAGAACTACCACGGGTTGTAGTAAGCTTAGCAGCTTACAGCCCTGCCTCAGGGAAAGGCTTCCCCAGTGTATCGGTTCTGCTCTGGCATGTTAGGCATCCCAGAGACCACTGGGATGTTAGCCCAGTGTAGCAGTTTTGCTCAGCAGGAGGTTTCTCATGGGAAGTTGCTACAGTTCCAGAGTGGGGAGCAGAGTGTAACAACTCCTCTCTGCCAAGGTAAGGTTTCCCCAGCAAAAGTGTTACAACCCTACTCATTCTGCTCTGCCCAGGGTTGCCTCTGCTCCGAAAGCTCATCCAAAAGGTTTATTGGGAGGGAAAAATCTAGGAGAGCACGAACAGCCACAAGCTAAACAGACACAGGGTTTATATAGGGGTTCCTGGGTGGGGATTGGTCAGATTTTAGTGCTGAGCTCAGATTAGCTAGAGCTCTGCTCAAGGATTGGTTAGTTTTATGCACAGGATTAGGGTCAGATTTGGCTCTGGTTTCAGGGCCAAAGTGTGTTTCTTTCTCTGGTCCTTTTTAGCCTTTTGGCTCCAATTTTAGGGCCAGGGTGCATTTCTTTCACTGACTCTGATTCCAGGGACAAAGTGTGTTCCTTTGGCACTGGTTTCAGGGTCAGGGTACATTTCTTTTGTTTTGCTTGCAGGGCCAAAGTGTGTTTCTTTGGCTCTTCTCAGAGTGTGTTTCTTTGACTGGTCCCTTATCCCTACAATAACCATAGTATTTTCCATTTCAAATATTCCTATGGGCCACGGCTTCTTTTTTATTGAAACTTTTTTTCATTTATTTTACATACCTACCAGTTTCCCCTCATCCTTTCCTCCTGCACCTGCCCCTTCCCATCTATCCCTCTCCCCTTCCACCCCTACTCCATCTCCACTCAGAAAGGGGCAGTCCTCCCATGGGCTTGAGCAAAGCATGGCACATCAAGTTGAGGCAGGACTGAGCTCCTCCACTAGCATCAAGTCTAGGCAAGATAATCCAGCATGGGCAACAGGTTCCCAAAAGACAGTTAAGCACCAGGGGCAGGTCCTGCTAGGAGCCCTAAAAAGAGACAGCTACATACCTGTCACACACATGCAGAGGGCCTAGGTCCCATAGAAGCTCCCTATTTGTTGGTGTGGAGTGCATTAGCTCCCACAAGCTCAGATCAGCTGTCTCTGTTGGTGCCCCCATTATGACCCCTGAGCCAAGGCTTTTTACTTCAAGACCCCAGGGACAGCCAAGCTTCTTCACATTCGCATGGCTCCCACTCCAGAACCTTCCAGAGAGTGCACATGAGCATGAATATCTTACACTTAAAACCTTCTATCTTCTCTCTAACCCCAAAAGCAAACACAAAGACCTGACTCTCTAAAGAGTTTTATTGATAGTCACCTTGGAACCCCATGTTGTCCTATGATGAACAGAGTCAGAGACCACCACATAAGATGAATCTCGATGTCACTTCCTTCCCTGGTTCCCTCTGGGTTCTGGTTCTGTTTCCAGGCTTGAGGTCCCCTCAGTTCCAGGTATTCGGTGGAACATGGGAATCGGAGGGTGGGCTCCCCCAGAAGGACCTGCACCGACTTCACCTTCAAGGGTGTCATTCAACTCCTCTGTTGAAATCTCACCACACAAGAATCTACTTTCCTCAGGCGCTTCCTTTTGTCTCTTACAGGGAAACTCCGCAGGGGGAGAAAAGACCTCCCCTACACACATCCATGAGTGCCAATTGCGGATCTCTAGACACAACACAGAAGTGTAGACTGAGGTTTCTGTCTCGCTCCGTCCTGCAGCCATTTAGTGCCAAATAAACACACAAAGGCGTGTATTCCTTATAAACTCTTTGGCCCATAGCTCAGGCTTCTTATTAGCTAGCACTCTCTTAATTATTAACCCATTTCTATTAATCTGTGTATTTCCACATCATCTTGGCTTACCAGAGAATACCCAGGTCTCTTGCTTCCCCCACAGGCTATATGGTGCTTCTCTGACTCCGCCTACTACCTTTCTCTAGCCCTGTTTGTATTTCCCACCTGCCTGTCCACTGGCTGAAACAGCTTTATTCATCAACCAAGGACATCCCCCATCACAAAAGAGTAAGATTTACTGCGGAGTAGGAAGACATATCTATCACCTACTCTTTGGGCTCCTATCTTTTGAACAATCGTGGCTGTCTGAGTTCTTTAGGAGAGTCATTGTGGTCTTTTCCTTTTTCTGGTTTGTTATTGATGCTAATCACTACGGTAGAAGTAAACGCACAGGGAGTGAGAAGTCAGGTAGGAAATACTACTTTACAGAGGTGTGTGACTACCCAGAGAAACACCAAGAGACAAGTCTAAACATGCTACCAAACCACACACAAAAACATTGGCTCCAAAGGTCAGATACAGGGTGGGACTACACAGCAGCTATCACGAGACATGCTGCCCTAGAAGTGGTGTGGAGGGGGGCGGGGAGTATGGAAAAGAGGCTTCTGGGAAGGAATAGAAAGAGGAACTTGTTGTCTGATATTTTAGGATCCCCTTTCATTCTCCTGATTTCCAGGGACTCCCAAGGGGACTAGAGTGATAACTAGGACTGGTTACAGGTTCTTCCAAACATTTAGCTCCTCCTGTTGGAAGAAAAAGGGATAGCTCATTTGAAGGAGTAAATTTTTTTTTCTCTGAATCTAACTACAGAGAACCTAGATTACTATAGAATAATATTTGTGTCTCCCCCAAAGTCTTATGCTGACATGCTAATCCCAAGTGGGACAGTACTAAGAATATGCTGACATGCTAATCCCCAGTGGGACAGTACTAAGAAACGAAGCCTTTGTGGGTGATGAGATCATGAGTGTGGAGGCCTTTTTTCCTGTTGCCATGTGGGAACATATCAAGAATCGAATGGTCTGTGAAGCAAGAAGGAGGCTTTCACCAGGTCCTGTACCTGCTGGTACACTGCTCTCAGACTCTCCCCATCCTCCCAAACTGAAAAGTGTGTTTCTGTTGTCTGGACGCAGTCTGATCTTTGATAGTCTATTATAACCATTCAAGGAAACTGAAAGGTCAAGGAATTCTAGAGGCTGACTTAAGCAACTTCCAGTCCTGCCCTCCACCTCTACTGATCTATGACCACTGTGAGCATTGCTCTCTAGGTCTTTCCAAAATGTCCTCTCTAACTGGGAAATAAGCTGGATTCCATCTGCGAAGAACTCAGAGGACCCAGCCCTTCAGAGGGTTCTCACCATTCCTGGGGAGGGAGCCAGGCCCTCTTTCCTCTCCAGCACCTTCAACTTTGAGCCCACAGCATCAACCGCGGACACAACTCCTTCCAGAACACTCTCCAGCTGCAGAACTCTCCTTGTGAGGCTGAGAGAGACAAAGGACACAGAATATGTGTCGGGGTGTGTGCAGGGGTACGGTATTAGAGGTAATACAGTGGTGCTTGAGAGAGACAAAGGACACAGACTATGTGTCGGGGTGTGTGCAGGGGTACCGTATTAGAGATAATACAGTGGTGCTTGTCTGGACTGGAATGAGGAAGAGTCACAGGGGAACAGAAACAGGACTAGCAAATGGGTTTGGGAAGGTGTGGAAAGATTCTCAAGAGAAGGTGTCACAGCCATCCCTGGACCCTTGCCTCCACATACCTGGAGAACTCTTCTCCAGAAACCCAGCCTCCTGCTCTGGCCGCCTCTGGGCCCGATTCATGTAGTGTGCTATATCCAAAGGACTGGCCTAGGTTCTCAGTCTCAGCACTGAGGGCCACCTGATTGGGAAGATGGATGTTAGAGGGGTAAGATGAGCTTTCTATGTTTCCTATTTAAATGTATTTTATGTGCATTTATGTGAAGGTGTCAGAGCTCCCAGAACTGGAGTTACAGAGAGTTGTGGGTGCTGGGAATTGAACCCAGGACCTCAGGAAGATCAGCCAGTGCTCTTAACTGCTGAGCCATCTCTCCATCAGTTTGGGAAGCTTCTAATCCATCCTCTGCTGTGAAGAGGCTCACAATCCTAGCCTTGGGCTCCCTTTCTCGTGGCTGTAACCCCCCTCTCTGATAGGCCTGTCCTTGAATTGTTTTTACCTATATTGAATAAGGATGGAGCAGGCATAGTAGGGCCAATTTCAAAATTCCAAGAGAATAAGTGTTCCTACAGGATCATCAGAGATTATCTTGGGGACTGGTCTCTTCTGCAAAGCAATGGTTCTGAAGCTTGGCTGTGTACTGGAATTGCCTTGGAAATTTTAGAAAGTCCTAATGTTTTAAACCCTTCTGCCCAGAGTTTGAGGGTGTTTAAAGGCTCTTTGGAATATTTAATATGCAGAAGTCTGAGAACCACTGTTCTTGAGGGTTCTTTCCCGCTCACGTTTGGGAAGACCTTCAACTTGGGTTTAGTTTGGTATGCTGGGGAAGGAGTGATGTGTTTATCCCTCCTCCCCACCAACCAGTCCTGCTTACCCTCTCCTCTTCCAGACCTTGTCGCATCTGTGCCTGCTCCTTCTCATCCAGAATGTGATTCCCATCCTGATCAAACCTGGCGAAGGCAGCCTTGAGCTCCGATATCTCATTCTCTGCCTGCCCCAGTCTAAGGAAAGCGAGGTGAAGAAGTTACTGTAATCACTCAAATATGGCCTCCCCACCCTTTGTGAGAGTCTTGATCTCTGGGTCTCACTTTCTGAGAAAGAAGGGGACCACACGGGAAAGCTAGAATCTTTAGGGTCTAGGGATTCCACCCAAACACGTTCTTTCATTTCTTCTTCATACCCTGACTCTTGCTGGCCAGGCTAGGCCCTCAGGATCTCATAGAGATTATGACTTTTCTTTGCCCTAGATAACTTGCTGCCATGAGCACAACTCTGGCTTCCCTTCCACTTCCTAATCCCGAAATCCATCCTTTATAAAGAGATTAATTACCATTGTAAAGTTCAGGTATAACACCTGAGCATGGTGGAAGATGTCTATAAGTCTTAGGTACTTGGGAGGCTGAGGCTAGAGGAAGAATCAAATCAAGTTCAAGGTGAACCTGGGCACTAAAGCGAGACCAAACTCAAAAATAATAAAATGTAATAGAAAATGCACATCCAAGAGCACCAATTCCTTGCTTTAAGGTCCCCCAAGAACCCTATTCCTTGGATACAGTGGTGATGCTCAAGGTCTTTCCCAACATGGCCCTGGGCCATGCCCTCAACTCTTCCTATAACTCACCTTTCATTTGATATCTTAGCAATGCTCAGCTATCACACCGGCCTTCCTCTGCTTGTCCACGTGTAAGCTAGGCATTCTTTTTTTTTTTTTTTTTTTTGGTTTTTCAAGACAGGGTTTCTCTGTATTATCTTGGAGGCTGTCCTGGAACTCACTTGATAGACCAGGCTGGCCTCGAACTCACAGAGATCCACCTGCCTCTGCCTCCCAAGTGCTGGGATTAAAGGCGTGCGCCACCAACGTCCGGCTAAGCTAGGCATTCTTTAAAACCCTTTCAGTCGTCACCTCTTACTGGAAGCCTTCCTTTATCTCAAAAAGGGTTGATAACTCTTTTTATTCCATGCCCCCCTCTCTTTAAGTCACTACTGTTCTTGAACTTAGTCTGTCTTGGCTTATTTGCTTACACAACTTTGAGCTCCTAGGAGACAAAGATTTTTGTCTCACTTAATTATGTCATCCCCTACTCAAGCCTGATCCACTGATGGTCTTCACAATATGTTTGCCCAATATTTTGGGTGGGGCATATGCAATAATAGGATAATTATACTGTTACATTAGGTGTAAGAGTTGTTCAATAAGGTCCAGAATATATATAGACTATGGTCAGGGATCTGTAAAGCCAGGTCACAATTCTGAAGGTCAGGATTAGAGACCCATGAGTCAAGGTCAGGATCCCATAAGTCAAGACCATAGGCCCATCGACCAAGGCTTATTAACAAAGGATGTATAGTTTAAGGCCACAAATTAGACCAATTTCAAAGAAGGTTGGATCTCCAGTAGCTTACTCCCTTAAGGTGTTGGTGAAATCTTCAAACTGGATTTCTGGTTCCCCACCCTTGAGGACTTTCTGCACATCTGAAACCCGTTCCTTTCTCAGACGCAGCTTTAGAAGAGTCTTCTTGTAGCTCTGAAAGGGAAAGGGAACAGGCAGAAGTCCCCACAGGGTCCTCACCACCATTGCCTCCCACCTCCACCTAACGATCCCAGGACCCCAGAAACAAATCAAAGGCATTCAAGAGCACAGATGCCTGTTTGCATTAGCCAAGAACAGACTACCATGGCACAGAGGCCCAGAGCCAAACCCAGAAAGAAACACTGCTCAAAGACACTGAGGAGTCACCTGTTTCAGGAGGTCAGAAAGCTGTAACTCATCCTTCTGGCTAGCTAGCTCCTCCTTGACCTCTGAGTATGTGTCATTGATGATGGCCAGGAACATGTTCTAAAGGAAAAAGTAAGGACGTGAGTTGTTTTTTTTTAACCAGGATCTCTCTATGTAGCCCTGGCTATCCTAGAACTTGCTATGTTGGCCATTGTGGCTTCAAACTCAGAGATCTGCCCTACTCTGCCTCCCTTGCTGGGACTAAGGGTGTGCACCATCATGCCTGGCTTGTGACCCGGGTTTTCACTTTCAACCCTACTAAAAACACTGAGTCTTCTTACTCTACATTTTACACATGTGTTCTAAAAAGACCAGTGCTCTGCAGCCCACCCATACCTGCCTCTCAAGAACCTGAAAGTCCTCCTTTTTTTGACACATTTCTGTTAAGGAAAGACCATGTTCCCTTATCAACCTGAGGTTCCTCATTTTCAGATGCTACAGTGACTTTTCTAAACACCAAGATACCCAGCATATGCCACGGACTTCCCCTACACAAAGGCCCACCAGTTACAGAAGTCATCGTTTTTTCAATGTGAAGTACAAATGTGCTCTCTTCTTTACCATCAACCCAATTCCATGCCTGGTCTCTATCAGTTAAATAAGGATACTTTCTGTTTCTATTAATAAAAAAAATCACACTCAAAGGCTTTTGGGGAGATGGCTTGGCATTTAAGAGCACTTATTACTCTGTTGTGATATTTTGTTTGTGTTCTCATAAATAAAGCTTGCCTGAAGATCAGAGGGTGAAGCTAGCCACTAGTTAACCATAGAGGTCTGGAGGTCTATACAGACAGGAGACAGGAATTGATAAGACAGGGTGTAGACAGGATCTCAGCCCTTTTCTGTCTTAGGAGCCGGAGAGGTAAGAGGTGACTGTAGCTGCTTCCTTACTTCTCTGATCATTCAGATTTTACCCCAATATCTGACTCTAGGTTTTTATTATTAAGACTAGGATCGAGCATCATTGCTCTTGCAGATGACCAAAGATCAGTTCCCAGCACCCACGCTGTAGCTCACAACCATTTGTAACTCCAGATCGGGGGGGGTTCAACTCCCTTTTTTTATAACCTATTTGGGCACCAGGTACACACACAGTGCATATCATACATGCAAATAAGACACATCGAATAAAATGAGTCTCAGATATTTCCCAGTTGGCAAGAGAGAACCACCAGTAAACACTGGCAAGTAGAAACTATCATGAATGCCATAGACGAGGGGGCCTCTGGGAGAACAGGCAAAGAGGCTTCCAGAGGTCTCCACTTCTCCTCATGAGGTATTCCCCCACTCCCTTTCTCTCCTTGGAAGATGAAGAGTTGGTTTTCCTCCTCATGAGGTATTTCCCCACTCCCTTTCTCTCCTTGGAAGATGAAGAGTTGGTTTTCCTGGGATAAAGTGCAGTTTCCTTTATGTCCCACACACCACTTGGCCATCTGATATCATTGCTACATTAACTGGCTCTCAGAAAACCCCAAAGAACCTCCATAACTTTCCCCCTGCTGTGAGAAGCCAGTTATAATCCTAAGTGAGAGGCATGGAGGGTCAAAACCCCACGCTGAAGGCCTCTAAGTCTCCAGCCCTCAAGGACCCTCACCAGGAGCACGAAGAAGACGAAGAAGACGTAGGTGACGAAGTACACAGGGCCCAGGATTCGGTTGGCATTGTCGATCGCATTGTAGTCAAAATCGCCAAGGATTATCCGGAACTGAGTGAAACTGAGAGACCAGATCTGGGTTTCACCCAGAGCCTAGTCAAGCATTTGCCCCAATTCATACCCCATCTCACTTTCTTAACCACAAACAGACCCCTCACTGCACCTAATGCAATAAAGGCAATATAATAGAAGTGGATGGCCTGTAAATTACTTGAGCACAAACCTGGACTTCAGGAGACTCTAGATACTTTAAGCATTGACACACCCATACACATGCCCCTCTTCCCCAAGGTGGCACACACCCTGGGAGCTGGAGAGTGAGGGGCCCAGGGATGGGGGGGGCAGGGCACACACATGCACTTGACGAAAGTGCTAAAGCTCTCCACTTGGGTCCCAAAGATCAGGTAGCCGAGCTGGGCATAAGCGAAGAAGACGATGAAGAACATGACAGCGAAGCCCAGGATGTCCTTGGCACAGCGAGCCAGCGTGGAGGAGAGCTGGGTCATGGTTCTGTTGAAGCTGATGTACTTGAATATCTGCCATGGCGAGACACGTAAAGGAGAAACGGTGGAAAGCATGGAACCCTCTGGGGACGGGGAGAGGCCCTGGGAGGCGCCCAATCAGACAAGAGAAACAAGGCCCATGTGGAGGAAGGTAAGTGAGCGCATCGAGGCCAGAGGTAGGAGGCAATTTCCAGGTACCTTGATCCAGGCGAAGAAAACGTTGACAGCGTTCATGTTGTTGTACTGTGTCTGCCAGAAGGCCAGGAACTCGAAGTCTGCATAAGTGTCTGGCTGCTGCAGGAGCTTTCCCATCAGTCGGTTTACTTCCAGGGTTCGGAATATGTGGAAACCCACAGCCACAAAGGAGAGCTGTCACACAGGAGTCGTGGCGAGTGTCAGATAAGTCAAGGGAATCTTAACAGAAGTTGGAAGATGAGCTCCCAGAGGAGAGCCAGGGCAAGGAACATTCTCTGCTGAGATGGTCACTAGCTGAGGTCCGGATGGAACACAGGGTGGGTGACCAGGGAACAGCTTAAATGGCCTACAGCCCAGGGGTAGGTTTAAGAGCCATGGGAAATGGGAGGATTGTGAAGAACTGCAGGGAAGTGGTACTCAGGAACATGGTGTCTCCCCATCCCTATCACTCCCAAGCCGTGGTCAAAAGAAATAAACGTGCAAGCCAGTGAGATGACTCAGCAGAAAGAGGTACTTGTGCCAAGCCTGGCCACCCGAGTTTGTTTGATCTCTAGGACCTACATGGTGGAAGGAGAGAGCCAACTCCCATAAACTGACCTCTGACCTCCACAAGCCCACTGTTGTATGTGCACACACACACACACACATGTGCACGCATCCACACAAATACATGTAAAAAAGAAGCCGGGCCATGGTGGCGCACGCCTTTAATCCCAGCACTCTGGAGGAAGAGGCAGGTGGATCTCTGTGAGTTCGAGGCCAGCCTGGTCTACAGAGTGAGTTCCAGGACAGCCTCCAAGACAATACTGGGAAACCCTGTCTTGAAAAACCAAAATAAATAAATAAAACAACAAAAGAAATGTGTCTTGTTAGTAGGAAGGAGATGACAATGAAGGGACAGTATTCAAACAGAAAAGAGAAATGGTAGAGTTCGCAAAAGGTCAGGCCATGAAACAAAAGGCAGAAGAGATTCTGAATAGATTTGCATAAGGGAAAAAGGAGGGCCCACTCATAGGTGAGGAGGAGGGGCAAGTCTTCCCAAGTCTGAGCCAGTGGGCATCAACCTTTCTCTTGGGGAAACTGGGCACAGTGCTTCTACTAAGTCAAAATGAGGGCTTGGGCCTCCAGAAGGAAGAACTTGGACCCCCTATCAAAGCAGGGGTCTCTCCACCCTCCAGTATGACCCAAGCCCCTCACCAAAATGATCACCAGGTCCAGAATGTTCCATATGCTGCTCAGGTAGTGAAACCGATGCAGGTGGATTTCCAGGATTTCTTCCACCACATAGTAGAAGATGAAGACACAGAAGATGACCTCACAGCCCATGATGAAGAAGTCCCAGTTACTCACATAGCGGATCAACTTAACTGTGCGGATTTGCCAGGATGAGATGGTCCCTCCTGTGGCTGGGAACTCTACCACCAGCCTGTGAGGAAGGTGAGATGACTAGTGGGGACTTGGCTGGGACAGCTCCTCCCACTTCCTTGGAGCCTCACATCCACCATAGGGTACCACATAAGGGGAGATCTCAAGCACATCAGATGGACCAGGAACCAGGGACAGAGAGATGCAATGGGGAGAGGGTGCTTACCTCAGAATACAGAAAAGATTGATGTTGGCATTGTAGACTGAGAAGTCGATGAAGACCACCCGCGTGCCCCTGTCTAGCCACAGCCCCTCTTGAAGACCTCGGAGGACCTCCGCACTGGCTTGTCGGGATCCTGGAAGGTCCAAGTAGTAGCCACCTCCACTGTAGCTTGTGAGCCTGCCCCAGTGGGAGGAGCCCCCCAGCTCGTTCTGTGAGTGGTATGTCCACCTGGCAAAGAAAACAGGCCATCTGAACAAAGAGGTCAGAACCAGGCAAAAACGCCCCCCCAAGGTAATTATGAATGCCTGGCTTTACAGATCCACACATTGTGGTGTATCTCTATATACATACTTACTGCACTATACCTGTTTATGTGTGCATATATTATATGTGATACATATGCAATTGTGAGAAACATCTTAGACATTTTGTATGCGCTGCCACATATAGTGCACATAATATCACATATGATAGATGCTTCGTATATATCATTTTGTTTGTTTGGCAATTCCAAGATAGTTAGGTATCCAGTGATACCTCTGAAACCCAAATGTAAGGGTCTTCCTTTTTTCACTAGGTGAAAAGCACTATTGGGCTCAGACTGTAATGCATAGGAAGGAAACACTTGGGCCATACATACAGAAACCATTTTCTAGTTCCTGTGGTTCTGTAGCTGGCTGATCAACCCCAGGATTCCTTGTTCTAGCCTCCCACACCCTACCCTGCTTACTCCTCTCCCATCCTCTCTAATCCCTTCCCTTCCTCTCTCCATCCCTCATCCATCTCCCATCTCCCATGCCTTGCTGCCGCCTGCATCAGGTCAAACTCTCTAACCATGACTTGGGTGGCAGCGTAAACTTCACTCAAGGACCACACACGCCCAGGGACTCTGTAGCATGAGTTCTAATTGGTCTTCACAATAAAACCTTGAGTCAGATATAAGGAAAAATGCTGAAATATCAGAGAGATGAAGTAGCAAGCCCTAGCCACACCTTACCTCCTCAACTTCCCAGCAGAAAAGAGACTGAGCTCATGTCTCCTCCAGCCTTATCACTTCTTCTCTCCACCCAGCTGTATCACTTCCTGTCTATCTGTACGACCTCCAGACCTCTATGGTTAACTAGTGGCTAGCTCCACCCTCTGATCTTCAGGAAAGCTTTATTTATTAGAGTACAAACAAGATATCATTTCAGGACTCCGCCTTCCAGGAAGGATGGAACTGTCACCTATGTGTGGGAACAAGTCCAGAAGATGTGTCTTCTCTGCTAACCTGCCTCCTCCACACCTGAGCCACACACACCAAAGAGTCCTTGTTGGGGTTTAGGGAGAGGCCTCCAAGTCTTGTAAGGTGCCCACCCTAAAGATTTCCGTTAAGTTCCAAAGAAGTGTTTCCCACACCCTGGGCTGATGGCAAGCTCAAAGGGGTGGTCCTGCGCTTTTGGCAGGGGCTCACTCACGCTGTGCCATTGAGAGGCCCAAAAGGGAGTTGATCTTCCTTGTCTGCAGAGTAGACATCGTAGCAGTTCAAAATGTCCTCACGGAAGTCCTCATGAACCACACAGGAGTCATTGCGCACCCGCAGTTGCCGCAACCTCGGGGCCCCCAGCAGGAGGTTCTCATAGTAGATGAAGGAGTGGGAGCCACGACCCAGGCTCTGGTTGTTGTACCACTTTGTCCAGTACAAACTGTCCAGGAGTGGGCCCTGAGCAAACTGTACCAGCATCTGGGTTGAGCCTGGTCCAGCCGCCTTCTAGCCCAGGGCATGACCTTTGTTCTCATTCTCTGGCCCTCGACTTGCCTCTAGCCTCTATTTTTGGACCCCCAGAGCTGACATTTGAAACTTTAGCAAAATACAGTTTAAAATATTGTATTTTAAGGTTCAGCTTTCCTTCTGAGTCAAATGCTAGTCTAGCTTCTGCTGGTCAACCCCCGTCCGTCCCTCCCCATCAACACCGCCATCTCTCTTCAACCTCCATCTGCAATTTAGCCCAAGACGTTAATTCAGCGTTACCCTTTAATCTGCCCTGGTTCCAGACTGACCTCCCTGGACTCTGGCCTGTGTCTCAGACCATTAAGAAGGAGAGGGAGGGATAAGGCAGTGTCATACTCACGTCCCAGAAGTCTGCCATGCTGCTGATGGTCTGGAAGGAGACCCCAGAGTCTGATGGAGTATGTAGGAACAGCTCAGACATCACTTTGGTGTAGTAATAGGCACTAGAGCTTGTCATTCCGTAGGTCACTAGAACACAACCCAAAAGGTATGTCCTCAAGGTCCATCTCCCCAGAGGAGTCAAGAAAGCCCACTGCTCTGGGGTCAGAAATACACTTCCATGGGAGCTCACCAGACCTTCCCTCTAGAATTATCTGGAGAGGATGATAGTACCACTAGGAGAGCCAGGGGATGCTTTAGGGAAGGGTTACCTAGAATAGCTGCAATCCACTTGCTTTGGCTTTGTCATTATGGAATCTCACTTTTCTCCCTAGGCTCAGATTAATTTCCTAGTTCTACTTGCCAGAGCCAAAAGACTGCACTGAGAGATGCTTCCCTTTATTTGCTCTCAATTTTTGCTTCTATATTTTACAGTAGGACTCAGGCTAAACATCTTGCAATGGAAAGGAAACCTCCTGACTTCTGAAATCATTGGTTCTACAGCCATGGGAATAGCGGGTAGGCATAGTGTGGACACCAGCATCTGCTTGGAACAGGATTTATTACACTACAGATCAAAAACAATCTAGCAGCTGGGCACTGTTGGCACATGCCTTTAATCCCAGAACTCGGGAGGCAGAGGCAGTCAAATCTTTGGGAGTTTGAGACCAGCCTGGTCTACAAGAGCTAGTTCCAGGACAGGCTCCAAAGCTACACAGGGAAACCCTGTCTTGAAAAACAAAACAAAACAAAAATCTAGCCTCTGCTCTGAATAATAGCACCTCACTCAGCCGCACAGACCAGCCCTTTGTGCCAAAAAATAGAGAAGCTCTGTGTTTTCTTGCTTAAAGGCAGGGTTTAAAATGCATATACCACTTATTTCATAGGCTGTCCCTCCATCTGGGCTTATCTGATGTTTCTTTGGGATTAAACTCAGGTAACAGGTTTGAGGGAGGCATGCCTCGTGAGTGATGTTACATTCATTACAGTGCATCATGTTAGGAGATATGGGTTGACTATTCATGTCTAACCACTGAAGTTAATTCTGATCCCTTAAGATGATGTTTTCTGGGCGTGGTGACGCACACCTTTAACCCCAGCACTTGGGAGGCAGAGGCAGGTGGATCTCCGTGAGTTCCAGGCCAGCCTGGTCTACAAGAGCTAGTTGCAGGACAGCCAGGGCCACAGAGAAACCCAGTCTCAAACAAACAAACAAAAAGATGGTGTCCGCTGTGATTCTTCAATGTAAAATTATGATTTCCTTCTTAGAATTAATATACATTTTGGGATATAGTTTGACACTTACATAAATATCTTATTAATTACTCATTCATCTTTCACCTATGAAATTAAAGTATTCATTGATGAATTTTGTCTAATTATTACCAGGATGATTATCAAATGCCGGGTTTCTTTTCCATCATTTCTTCCACATGTATTTGCTGATTGTGGTGGTTTGAATAGGAATGGCCTCTAAAGGTTCATGTATTTGAATATTTAGTCACCAGGGAGTGGAACTATTTGAAAAGGATTAGAAGGACTAGGAGGTGTGGTCTTGTTGGAGGAATTATGTCACTGAGGGTGGGGTTTGAGGTTTCAAAATCCCATGACAGTTTCAATCTCTCTGTGTGTCTGTTTGTCTGTCTGTCTCTCTGTCTCAATTTCTTTCTCTCTGCCTGCAGATCAGGATATATCTCTCAGCTATTGCTCCAGCGCCATATGCCATGATCTCCACCATGATGATAATGGACTAAACCTCTGAAACTTTAAGCAAGTTCCCCATTAATGCTTTCCTACATAAGAGTTGCCTTTGCTACGATGTCTCTTCACAGAAATAGAATAGTGACTAAGACACTGGTGTTCTTCTTAGGAAGATATTTTGTTTATCAGTTTGTACTTGTGAATGCTCCCCCCCACGCCTTTGTGGGTTCTAATTTGACATTATTATTTATCTTGTTACTCAGTGTTTTTGTTCGTTTTGTTTTGCTTTTGAGACAGGGTCTATGTAGTTCTGGCTGCCATGGAACTTGCTATGCAGACCAAGCTGGCCTTGAACTCACAGAGATCTACCAGCCTCTGCCTCCTAAATGCTGGGATAAAAGACATGCCTCCACATCTGGCTGGGTTTTGAGGGGTGTTTGTTTGTTTAACAAGGTGAAAGACTAAAAGGAATATGTAATACGAGCTTCTGAAATGGATCCTGGGTCATATTCTCTCTTTTGCTATAAAAGCTATTAGTAAAATAGTTGGTGAAATTGTAATAGGGTTTGTTGATTAAATGACAGTACTAGATCAATGACAATATCCTAATTTTTACAAGAGAATATTCACCACCTTAAGAAAATATACATTACGGTATTTGGTAATAATGAGACTTTACACTATTATGTCTTCAAATTTATTTTCAAAAGACAGTGGAGGAGGGGACAGGGCTATGTAGCACCTTCATATTTGCATAGCTAGGTAAAATGTATGAATTCTTTATATATTTGTTATAATTTTCTGTATGTGTATAATAATTATGTTCAAATTTTAAAGTAGGATTTCTTATCCTCTTGGGAGAAATTCCTTTAATTTCTTTCTTTTTCAACTGAACTCAGATACTAATATCTGATAAAGTAGACTTTAAACCAAAATTAATCAGAAGAGATGAAGGTCACTTAATATTTATTGATAAAATAGTTCATTGAGAGGCTATGACAATTCTAAATACATAAGCATTAAATATTGTTGCACCCTATTTCATAAAACAAACATATAAAAAAGCATAGATTGCCTCAACACAATGAGATGTGTAGCAAAAAGCAATGATTAAATGAGTGGAAAGGCAGTCTATAGCAAGGAGGGGGGTGTCTATTAGCTGTACTAATGAACTGATAGAATACTAATATCTAGAATACATAAAGAATTTTAAAAATTAAGCAGTGAAACAATCTAATCAATAAATGTGCAAATGAAACGAACAAAGAGCTCTCGAAAGATCAAGTGCAAATGACTAATAAACATATAAAAATGTCCTGCATCTTTAGCATCAGGGAAATGCTAATCAAAACCACACTGATATTCCATCCCACTCTAGTCTGAATGGCCGTCATTAAGAGAACAACAACAATAAATGCTGACAAAGAATGGAAGTGGAGAGGGAACCCTTATACACAGCTAATGGGAATATAAATTAGTCCGTCCACTGTGGAAATCAGTGTGGAGGTTCTTCATCAGACTGAAACTAGAACTACAATGTGATCAGGCTGTACCGTGCCTAGGAATGTCCCTAAAGGGATCCAAGCCAGCAAAACAGATCCATGTTTATTGTCTCACTATTCCATGCCAAGTTACACATCACCCTATGCATCCATCAACAGATGAATATCTGAAGAAAAATACAGCACACATATAGTAAAGTCAGCTGTAAAGAATGAAATTATGTGGTCTGTAGAAATTTGATGGAGTTGGGGATCATTATACTAAGCAAAGTAAACTAGACCCAGAAAAAGTATTTTTTCTCTCTTATGTATATCCTAGCTTGATTTTACACTCACACACACATACACACACACACACACACACACACACACACACACACACACACACACACACTCAATGGGGATGAGGTAAAAGGAGTGAGGAATAGAGGAGGGAGAAGCAGGTAAAAGGAGGGCTGTTGAGGAATTAGTATAATCAAAGTCTTTGGTACACTTGAATGAAGGTATCTTTATCAGGGTTGGGAAAACGTTTCAATGGGTAAAGGTACTTGGGGCCAAGCCTAATGTCATGAGTTCAATTCCCATGACCTACATAGGAGATGGAGAGTGCCAGTTCCCACAAGCTGTCCTCTGACTTGCACATACATACTGTGGCATGTGTAGACATGCACATACACAATAAATAAATAAGTACATGTTAGAAAAAAGTGAAAAAGAAACGTCTTTATGAAACACGTCACCATTAAAAATAATTCTGTTTTTCCGATCTTGGACCATATTTTTCCTTTACACCCAATTTAGGAAGAGAAGGGTTTGGGTGAACTAGAGTTTGTTTAGAGTGACCCCTGGTTATAAGAACAGAACAGACATCGTAGTTCACCATTGAGGGCCATCAGCAAAGAAGAAAGCGTCAGCCTCTGCATTACTCCATTCCACTCTATTAATAAAGCCCAAGGCATGGCTTACTCCTGGTTGTGTCTGTGATTACCCATCCTCAGTATGTGGAGAAAGAAAGACAGGCAATGTTCTGAGATGGGCTGCTGAGAGCCCACCTCACAGAACTGATGGCCCAGTGGACTTTCCCTGATGACCTTGTACTAAATTGTTACACTGCTGAGTAGCCACTAGATGGTACTCTTTGCTCTGCCTTTTCCTAGATTAGTCTAAACTACAGATCAGAATTACTGTAGCTCTGAATTGCTTGCCAACTGTTTCTCAGGGAATATCTTCAGTCTTTGCTTGCTTGCATTGATGCAGCTTCTTGTAGCTCAAGCTGGCTCTGGACTTGTAAATAAATGAGGCTGTTCTAGAAATTAGGAACTTCCTGCCTCTGCCTCCCAAGTATCGTGATTAAAGCCATGCATCACCATTCGGGAGTCTGCTTTTGTTTTCATTTTTTTCAGTGCTGAGACTTGAACCCAAGGTCACGAGGATGCTAGGCAATAATCTACAGGCCCAGCCCCATAACCCCTGATTATTATCCAAGACAATAAAAGTTGTGTTTTCTGCCGGGCATTGGTGGCGCACACCTTTAATCCCAGCACTCGGGAGGCAGAGGCAGGCGGATCTCTGTGAGTTCGAGGCCAGGCTGGACCGACAGCCTCTAAAACAGAGAAACCCTGTCTCGTTAAAAAAAAAAAAACCAAAAAAAATTGTGTTTTCTAAGAAAAATGCCTTCTCCTGGTCAAATGCTTGTTAACACACAGATATACAGTATCCATTCTTCTTTGTGACTCTTTAGTTAAAGTTCATATGCATAAAAGGACCAAGATAGAACCTTAAAACCTTTCTAGATTAAAGTCCAAGCTCTTTCTCTCCACCCACATGTTCCGGGAGCTGGGGAGATGGCTTGAGCTTTAGAGCATTTATTTCCCTCTTAGATAACAC